ATCTCGATACCGCGTCTCTTATTTTAATCATTTGTCCTAATAATTATCCCGAAATGAGATGGGATGACCGGTTGATGATCTTAAGAAATTAATGCAAAAATCGAAATATATATATATATATATATATATATATATATATACATCACAAACCTAGATAGGGAGTAAGAACAGCAATCTGTTCGGAATTTGTATATCCATTTCTAACAAAATACTATATATTTTGGTGACGTTAAAATTCTAATTTTAACGTGTTATCATTTATATAGAGAATTTATTGTCCCACCCACCTTTACCATTTCGACGATCATTGCAACTTCAAACCAGTTAGAATGAGATTGAAGAGCAAATTCGCTTTTTGCCGAATCTTCGGGATTTCTATGGTCAATGAAGAAAACATTGCTCTGTGCTCCGCAAACATTGGGATACATTGATGTTATTCCGTGATCTTCTAGTTTTGGATAGATCGTTTGCCTGACTAAATCCGCAATTTCACTCCTCATACGTCTTTGAGTTAAAAGCTGTGTTGTTTGAAAGGTCGTGTTACGTACAATTGACAATTATCAAGGTATTGGATCATATGAAGTTAATTTTTCACAAGACGATTTTTAACAAACCTCGATAATACGTTTATTGTGCAGGCGAAGAGGCCGATATTGTCATCATTTCACTTGTCAGGAATACCTTAAATCCAAACGATTCGGGCTCCATTGGCTTCTTGAAGTCTGATAATCGTACAAATGTTTTACTTTCGCGAGCTCGACACGGTATGTACCTTATCGGTAATGCCGAGCTCATGGCAAGCAAATCCGAAATGTGGGCCAAGGTGATCAACATTCTCCGATCTCGCCAACCACCGCAGATTGGCGAGGGATTTCCAACCGTATGCGCACAACATCCCGATTATAGAAACATTATCTTCAGACCCGAACAATTCGAGGAAGTATCACCTGACGGAGGATGTATGCTTCCTTGTAACGCATTGCTCAAGTGCGGTCACATATGTAAGCATTTCGCATTTTCCCAACAACGTGAAAATGCAATGCTAATTTAAATTCAAATTTCTGCAGGCCCGTACAAATGCCACTCTGATGATCCTGGGTTTGTGAACTGTTATGATTTTGTTTGTTTGGAACTGTTCCTGACGCTGATCAATAATGCTTTTGGTTTATGTAGTCATATTTCGATTTTCTGCAGAAAACCATGTGTTAGATTACATAATGAATGTGGACACCCTTGTAAGTTATAAACATTCGATATAAACAGCGCAGCCACCTACGCTTAATAACCAACTGAAATTATCATTTACAAATACAGGCAGACTTGAATGTGGAAAGAA